CTTTTCATCATCGTCCTCCAAGTCATAGTAATGAATGACATCATACTCGACATCGTGGCCGCCGTGCATCCTTGTAAAACACGTTCGCGCCGCGACGCACGAGGACTTTCGCCATAGCCAGTCCGTTGTCGTAATCCAGGATCATGCAATTGAGCGGGTTATCAGCGTTGGGATCCGCACCAGCATCGAGCAGCACAGTCATCTCTTCTGGATACTCGCACCACAAGAGGGGACGCACAGCTGCTTCGAGATTCGCGTCGGCGCCGTGAGCCAGAAGTAGCCGCACCGCATCAGATCTATCCAGCCGTTGCTCAGAACTTTGTAAGAGGACACAGTGCAAAAAAGTACCGTGATGATCGTCGTTTCTTCCCGCGTCGTAGTAGTATTGGAGGGTTTCGGTCTCGTCGTTCAGGATCTGATCGGGTTCATGAAATCCGAACAGCACATTCGCATCACGACGGCCGCTCTCAAAATAATGTCGAAGCGTATTGGTGTCCCCCAGGAGCGCCGCTAAAATGATCGCTGCAGGCGGCGGCGCGCTCATCGTCTCGCTCGACCCAATCTCCACAGGCCGTTTTTGCGCCAGGTTCGCGGTGCAGCGCGCGTCGCGACCCGTCAGCGACTCGCACCTCTCTCGCCGCCGCGCCGGGCCCGTCGGCATCCACACGAATTTCTTCCTTAGAGGGGGAGCGGCAGGCTCGCGGTGATCCACGTGGCGCTGGCCTTCTGGCGGGCGGGGAGCGTAGCAAAGGGGAGGTTGTGGCGCCGCGCGCGGCCGAAGGCGACGCCGGTCGCGCCGGGGACGAGGGGCGTGTCGCTCAGGAGCGACACGCCGTCTTGCATCTGGCTGATGACGAGGACGCGCGCGGAGCCGTCGGGCGCGGCGACCGCGCGGACAATGTGGCCCTCGCTTTTGCCGGCGGCCGCGCCCGGCGGCGCGGCGACGCGGCGCCAGACGAGGTCGTCGAGGTCGAGGGCGATGGCGTCGTGGGGCGCGCGGCCGACGAGCACGAGGCAGGGGCCGCAGGCGACGGCGTCGCCGAAGGCCGCGGGAGGACCCACGCGCGGCGGCCGGGCTCGAGCGCGTAGACGGACGCGCCGCCGGCGACGCAGCTCCGCGCGTTGCTGTCGAGGCAGACGGCGAGGAGCGTCGTCTCCGCCTCCGCGGGCGCCGCGGCCGCGTTGGCGACGCCGCGCCGTTTCCGCGCGGCGCGCGCGGCGTCGCGCCGCAGCAGCCGCCGGCCGAGCCAGGCCTGGGCGTCGGCGCGCGCGCCCGGCGGGAGGTCCTGGGGGCCCCAGCCCGGCCCGTGGAGCGCGTCGCCGAGGCGCTCCCGCGCGGGCGCGGGCGTCGACGGCCCCGGCCCGACGTCGCGCGCGGCGACGTCCGGCGCGACGCCGGACGCGAGCGAGGCCGCCGCGCGGTCGACGAGGGTGCCCGCGGCGGGCCCGGGGTCGCCGAGGGAGATGGGCGGCTGCCGCGCGCCGTCGAAGGCCGGCGCGCCGTCGAAGGCCGCGCGACGTCGCGCCCGCACGGGCACGAGCAGCAAATCGAGCGTCGGCCGCCAGGGCACGAGGCCCGGGAGCCGCGTCCAGAGGTCGGTGTCGGCCGCCGCGGCGTCCGCCGCGTCCTCCTCGGCGCCCGCGGGCGCGGACCGGCGCCGCGCGACGTGCCAGACCTGGCGGTCCGCGACGACGTCGCCGCGGCGGAACGCGGCGAGCGCGGCCGCGTCGGGCCGCGGCGCCACGCGGTACTTGCACGACGCCACGTAGAGGCGGCCGTCGCCGTCGACGGCCGCCGCGCGCCGGAAGTTCGTGTCGCGGAGCGCCGGCGACGCCGGCGGCGCGTCGCCGGCGCCGCCGCCGGCCGCGGGCGCGCCGCGCCAGAGGTCGACGCCGGTCCACGTCGCCGTCGACGGGTCCCAGCGCACGGCGGCGTGGCCCGGCCCGTCGCCCGCGCCGCCCGCGTCGTCCGCGGCGCCGCCGTCGCCGAGCGGCGCGTCGAACCACGGGTCGTGGCTCCGCGCGAGGAGAAGTAAAGACCCCCGGTTCGGCGCGGCGAGCTTCGCCGCGGGGCCCGGCGCGCCGTCGCGGCGGCTCAGCTCGACGCAGCGGCCGTCGACGACCTCGCGCACGGCGACGTCGTGGCGCGCTCGCGCGGGCAGCGTCGGGTCCGACGGCGCCGGCGCCGGCGCGGCGTCGCCGACGAGCAGCGTGCCCCGGCGCAGGGACTCGAGGCGCGCGGCCCAGGACGGCCGCGCGTGGCGCTCGTCGCGGCCCCGGCGCGCGCGGAGGAGCGCGGGGCCGTCGGGCACCGTCCCGCTCGACGGCAGGCGGGGCCGGAGCCGCCGGTAGGCCTCGCGGCACGCGATCGACGCGGCGACCTCGACCAGGCTCGCGGCGCCCCCGGCGGACGCGCGGCCGCGCAACGCCCGGCACGTCGTCGCGAGGCGGCTCAGGTCCCGGGGCTCGAGGAACGCGGCGTAGAGCAGCGCGACGGCCGCGGACGCGCGGCCGAGGCCCCCGGGCAGGACCGCCTCGGCGACGACGCGCTCGACCCAGACCTTGTAGTCGACCTCCGCGCGGCTCTGGAGCTGGGGCGGCCGCGTCGGCGGCGCCGCGAGGAGGCTCAGCGCCGGCCGCGGGTTCCGCGGCGCGCGGGGCGACGCCGCCTCCGTCGCAGCGCAGACGTCGGACTCCGTGCGCAGCCGCACGGGGGCGCGCACCTCGCCGGACCGGGCGTCGAGGGCCTCGAGGGCCTCCATGGCGCGGGGCGTGAGACCGGTGGACGGGGGTGCCCGGGGGGGATTGCGGTCCTGCTTCTGGAGGTCGGGCGCGACGCGGAGCAAGTTCTCTCACCTCCGGAGCCGGGCGCCGAGGTGCTCCGTCACTGCTCGTTCGCGTCACGTACGGCTGTATCCGGCAGCGCGCTTTGGGATTCTGCTCTGCCGAAGCTCGCTCCATCACCAGCCACCGAGAGATCTCCGGCCGTTCCGCGGCGCCGGGGCCATGTCCAAGTTCACCAAGGCCGACCAGGATGCGCTCGTCGAGCTCTGCAAGAAGCCCTACGCCATTCGCAGCGTCCTGTGACGATTTCGAGAGATTTCGGCTGGGAAAACGATGAAACATCGTTACCGTCATGCTTGGTAGGCCATGCAAGCGAAGCACTTCCTCAACGCCTTCTGGAGCCGCCAGGCCGGCGGCATCCCCGACGAGGGCTTCGAGAAGCACCAGGAGAAGGCCGAGGAGATCTGGAACTACACGGCGGAGTTCATCAAGCTCGACAAGAGGAAGAAGGACGCCGGGAACGAGCTCGACGAGTTCGAGGCGCACCAGTTCCTCGAGCACACGGCGCGCCGCGCCGCGCCCGGGCGCGCGCCGTTTTCTGGTGGAGCCACCCGCCGTCCCTAGGTCGGCGCGCTCACGGTCAAGGACATGCGCGCGGCGCTCACGGCCATCGACATCGACTTCAACCGCATGATGTCCATCACGGAGTTCCTCGTCTTCCACTACAAGCTCACGGAGGGCGACTGGGTCTACCTCGTCAACTGGGTGCCCACGGGCAGCGCGGCCCAGCGCCAGATGATGGAGACGCTCCAGGAGCAGATGGCCGAGGCCCAGGAGAAGCTCCGCCTCTCGACGGAGGCCGCGGAGGTCTCCGCGGCCGCGGCGAAGGAGGCCGAGGACGCCGCCAAGGAGATGGAGGCCGCGACCAAGGCCCTCGAGGCCCAGGAGCAGGCCAAGGCCGACGCCATCGCCGCCCAGGAGAAGCTGAGCAGCGACGAGTCGCTGTCGACGGTGAAGCGCAACAAGGCCAAGGCCCAGTGCGCGATCCTCAAGGCCGAGGACAGCCAGCCGCTCCGGACGGCGCGGATCACGCAGGGCGCCGCGGAGCGCAAGGCCAAGAAGGCGGCGAAGAAGGCCAAGCAGGCCGCCGACGCCGCCGACGAGGCCATGAAGGTCGCCGACGACGCCGTCCACATGATCACGGACAAGCTCGAGGAGGCCAAGGCCGCCTGCGCGGGCGGCGGCTCCGAGGAGGGCACGTTCTGGTGGCTCGACCGCGAGTTCGAGGAGAGCCTCAAGTACATGGGGCCCAAGCAGAAGGAGAAGGCCCTCGCGGCCCGCGACGCCGCGCGCAAGCGCTCGGGCACCGTCGGCGCCTAGGCCCCCGCCGCGCGCCGCGCCGCCGGCGCTCCGCCCCCCGCTCCCCGCGCCGCGGGCTCCCGCCTGCCCCGCGCGCGTCGCTTCTTTTACGGCGCCTCGCCGTCCGGGAGCTCCCAGACGCGGATCCAGTCCACGAGGAGCTGGTTGTCGTCGCCCCACGTCGGGTACCAGTCGTCCTGCGCCTCGAGGAAGCACGCGGCGCTCGTGAGGCCCGCCGCCTTGCCCGGGCAATTCGCCGGGGCCCAGGGCGTGTCGTGGCCCCAGTAATAGTCCTTGCCGCCGCAGTCGCCGCCGACGGCCAGGTTGAAGATGACGTAGAAGTCGACGTCGTAGGGCGCCTACCGAGCATGTCGGTAACGATTTCTCTTCGTCTTCCCGGTCAAAATCTCTCGAAAACCGCCACCGCCACAGGACGCCGTAGCGCGCCAGCGGCGTCTTCGCGTCGTCGTAGGCGCCTCTGCAGTTCGGGCGCCGGTCGTGGCCCCGCCAGTCGACGACCGTGTGCTCCTCGCCCGTCGCGGAGTCGACGTAGTACGTGCGGACGCGGCCCTCCGACCACCGGAGGCCGAAGACGAGGAACCCGTCGTCGTCCGCGAGGGACGCCGGCGGGCGCGTCCGTTTGACCATGTCGAAGTCGTCCTTGAAGCCCGGACCCGCGCAGTGCACCGTCGACGTGAAGCTGTTGACGCCGTAGGTCGAGTAGACCCAATTCGCCGGGTCCTCCTCGAGCCGGCGCCGGTTCGGATCGCCGCCGAGCATCTCCCAGTCGACGCCGTTGCCGCGGCCCTCCATGAGGTCGATCTCTCCGGACCGGGGCCAGATGCCTAGCAAATGCGTCCGTAACGATGTTTCATCGTTTCCCCACCCGAAATCTCTCGAAAGTCGTCACGGCCACAGGACGCTGCCAGATGCCGTATTTCTGGTCGTCGGGCAGCAGCCAGAACGCGGGCCAGAGCCAGTCGCCGCGCGGCGGCCGGAGCCGCGCCTCGAGGACGCCGTAGGTGAAGGCGAACTTGCCCTGCGTCGTCACCTTGCCCGAGCGCACGCCGGGCAGCGGGAAGTTCGCCGTGCCCGTGCGCTTGCAGGCGCCGGGCCAGGTGTCGCTGCAGTCGCCGAGGTCGTAGGTCCCGTTGTAGAGGAACTTCCGCGGCAAGGTCGTCAGCGTCGGCGTGATGGCGAGGCGGCCGTTTTGCACGGTCACGGTCGCGCCGTCGTCCGTGTACTCCTGGAACTCGCCGTTGCCGCCGCCGTTGATGCTCGTGATGACGTTCCAGGCGCTGCGGTCGATGGCGTCGTCATCAAACTCGTCGGACCAGACGAGCCGGCCCTTGCCGCCGCTCGTGAAGCCGGACTGCGGCACGGCGAGGTCGAGGCAGAACCAGAGCGTGGTCGAGCAGACGAGCGACAGCACGATGGCCTTCGTCTTCATGCACTGCGAGCCGCCCATTGTTGTGACCTTGTGGCGATTGTGCTAGACATGCCGAGGAAATACAAACTTTTTCCGCGATGGGGCAGCCTCGTGCATCCATCGCCTGTCGCATAGGCAGCCGCGCGCACGACACTGCTGCAATGGCCAATTACACGGCCGTCGCCGCCGACGCCAACGCGCTCGTCGCCGAGAAGAAGTCGTGGATGGCCCAGAACCGGGCCGCCGCCGCGGCGCTCGGCGTCTCCGGCGCGCTGCTCCTGGCGCTCGCCGTCTTCTACGCGACGAGCCGGTCGAGCGACGTCTTCTTCGAGGACTTCCACAGCATCGACGCGGCGCGCTGGACCGTGGAGCGGTCGCTGGACGACGGGGGCAACGGCGAGTTCCAGGCCTACACGGACGACCCGGGCGTCATCTTCGTGCGGAACGGCCGCCTCGTGATCCAGCCCAAGCCCATGTCCGCGGACGCGTGGTACCAGCTCTCGGGCCTCGACGCGAAGCTCGCGGACCCGGCGACGCCGGACGCGGACGTGGCGGCGCTCCACGCGCTGCGCGACAAGCTCGAGGCGCCCGGCGGCGTCCGCGGCGCGCTCGACGACGGCACGGAGCTCGCGGTCGAGGGCTGCACCGTGCCCGCGGCGGACGCGGCCGGTGCGCCCCAGAAGTGCGCCCACGCGGGCAAGTGGGACGAGCCCCTGCCGCCCGTCGTCTCCGCGCGCCTGAGCAGCAAGGGCAAGTTCCAGTTCAGGCACGGCCGCGTCGAGGCGCGGCTCCGGCTGCCCGTGGGCGACTGGGTCTGGCCCGCGTTCTGGCTCCTGCCGGCGGAGAACGCCTACGGGCCCTGGCCCTTCAGCGGCGAGATCGACCTGCTCGAGGCGCGGGGCAACGACGCGGATTTTGAAGTTGTCGGGTCCTCGCAGAGCGGCAAAGCGGGCTTCGACCGCCTCGCGGCGACGGTCCACTGCGCGGACGCGGGCGGCGGCGACACGTTCTCCATCGGGAACACGACGATCTGGCCGTCGCAATCGAACAATTTCAAGGCGCTCGAGGACGCGGACGGCTTCGTGATCATCGGCCTCGACTGGCGGCCCGGCTCCGTGCGGACCTACGCGCGCGAGGGGCCGGGCCTCGCACAGGAGCGGACCCTGGCGACCTGGCCGGGGGCCAAGGGGCCCTACTGCGAGAACGACGCCTACGACGGCCACCCGGACGCGCCCTTCGACGCCGAGTTCTACTTCGTCATCAACGTCGCCGTCGGCGGCTCCGCGGGAGGCGGCGTCGCGTACTGGGGGGAGGAGGTGCTCTGGAAGGGCTGCGACCACCCGCACATGTGCGACCCGCGGACGGCCTTCGCCGACGAGGAGGCGGCCTGGATCCCGACGTGGACGCGGCCGCTCGAGGTCGACTGGATCCGCGTGACGAAGGCGTAAGCGCGGCGAAGGCGAGTCGGCGAACGAAGAGCGGGGGGCGCCATGCGACCCCCAGTTCCGAACGTCTCGCTTACGACGCGGCGCGCGTCCCGGAGGGACTCAGACGGCGCCGGGCACGGGCGGGATCTTGACGGCGACGAAGTAGCCGACGGCGTCGTCGGGGAGCGAGTGCCTCGGGATGCGGCGCATGTCGTCGGACGTCGGCGATGGCGTCATCTTGACGGCGCCGTTCACGGACGGCGGCGTCTCGTTGAGGGCGATGACGTCGCCGACGAAGACGCGCGTCGTCGCGTAGGGCTCGATCGTGCCCTCGTACCGGCGCGTGATTTCGAGGATGAGCTCCTGGCCGTCGAACTCCCAGCGGCCGGAGCTCGCGGCGAAGGGGACGCCGTCCGTCGCGCCGAGCGCGGCCTTGCCGTCGGCCGTGAGCTCGAGGAGCGTCTTCGCCCTGTCGGCGTCCTCCGACTCCTCGAGCTCGTACTGGCCGACGAACGACGCGTCGCTCAGCGCCCCCAGCGCGGGCTTGTCCGCGGCGTAGGCGAGCGCCGGCGGCGCGGCGCTCCACGCGAGCTCGGCGCTGCTCAGCTGGTCGAGGTAGCTGTCAGAATGGAGCGCCGGCGCCCGGGCGAAGCGCCTCGCCGGCGCGTGCAAGGCCGCGGCCGCGGATGCAAGCGCGAGGAGCGCGAGCGCCATTGTGCTGGTCTCAGTGCGCGGCAGCGGCTTGTGCTGAACTCAGTGCGCGGCGGCGGCTTGCAAAGGCACTGGCTGCTTGCGCCGAGCAGATGAGCAGAGCTTCTCGCCGCGGGACAATGTTACCACAAGTTGCATGGCAACTCCAGCGAGGAGCGGGTATGCACTTGGCAGCCCCTCCCAAATCATTGAACGATGGTATCAGCTTTTGGGTGGCATCTCGCAGCCCATTCACCTCAGCCCACACCGCTCGTCGAGGGAGGAGTTTTATCCCGAGGCTTCCGGAGGCTGGCGTCGTCGCCGGGCATGCCGGAGAAGCGCGCGCTCGCGGGCGGCATGCGCCTCCCGGAGCGGCTGCTCGACGTCGTGGAGTTCGAGGGCCTCGAGTCGCCTAGGAAGCGCGCGTCCTTCGACCGGGGCTCGCACCGCGCGTCGCGGGAGATCGAGATCAGCCTCGGCAGCCCCTGCGTCCACGGCTCCCCGGACGCGCCCTGGCAGCTCGGCGGCCTCGACGCGTCCCTGCCCCGGAGCCCGAACGGCACGATCCAGGTCGAGGACCCGCTCGAGGAGGCCGCGCGCGAGCACCGAGAGCGGACGCGGGCCGCGGCCGGGCCGCCGCCGGCCGGGGCCCCGCCGGCGGCCGAAGCCCCGCCGGTGCGCCGCATGTCCACGGGCACGGACCAGCGGGCGCCGGACCCGCTCGCGCCGCGCGCGGGGCCGCCGAAGGCGCGGCGCGCGAGCGAGAGCTCCGTCGCCCCTTCGCTCCCGAAGCGCAACAGCGAGCCCGCGCTGTCGGCGCTCCAGGACGTCGTCTGCAGCGGCCGCCGGGGCCTCGAGCGGAGCAAGTCCGCCGGCACGGGCCGGTCCCTCCGGAGGACGAAGTCGAAGGGCCGCACGGAGTCGGTCATCCTGCTGCCGGGCACGACCGTCGACGACACGGACTTCGACGACTGGAAGATCTTGGATCCGAGCCACATTATCAGCCGCAGCCCCGTGCCCCCGAGCCGCGAGCTCGGCCCGAACCCCGTGTCGCCGTCGGCCGAGCTCTGGGACCCCGCGGGCCTCCGGCGCCCGAAGCCCTGGGACGCGCCGCGCGCGGGCGAGCCGGCGCCGCCCGCCGACGCGCCCGCGGCGCCGGGGGCGCCGCCGGCCGACGCGCCCGGGGGCGCTGAGTGGGACGCGTAGGCGTCCCCCCAATTTAAACCACGTGATCGCGCCGGACGTTCGCGCGCCGGTCCGCCCCCGTCGGCGTCCCCCAAGTTACATGTGCACAACGATGGCCGCGTCAGTCGCGGCGGCCCTTGAGCTGGGCGAGGATGGTGGGGAGCGCGGGCGCGACGGCGCGCGCGCAGCGCGCGGCGCGCGTCGCGGGCGCGGGGAGGACGAGGACGAGCGTGTCGCCCATGATGGCGGCGATGGGGCTCTGGAGGGGGTCGTCGTCGGCGAGGGCCATGGCGCGCGCGAGGCCCGGCGCCTTGCGGGCCTCGTCGAGCGCGCGCGGCGTCGGCGGGCTGGCCAGCCCGACGTCGAGGCCGCCGCAGACGACGAGGACGGCGGCCTCGCCCGCGCGGTTGAGGAGCTCCGCCCGGATCTCGGACGGGTCGTCCGCGCGGATGACGGGCGGGCCGTCGCGGACGAACATCGCGAGGCCAGTCGACCGCGCCTGTGCCGAATTCAAATATTAAATTCCACTTCAATGTGAGCGTACGCGACAGTTTCGACGCAAGCTCTTCGGCTTTGCTTCGAGAACTCGACGAGAGCAATCGATTCGTCCAAAAATCAGCCGAATCGACTTCGATTTGACCGAGCTAGAGATTTCTGAAGTTTGGTCAGGACCACCCAAACCAGTGGTTGAATTCGGCACAGGACCGCGCGATGACCGCGGCCGCGGCGTTGGCCGCGTCGACGCGCGTGACGACGTGGGCGCGGAGCTCGCTCTCGGCGAAGCCCGCGCCGCTGACGACGGCGACGGCGGCGACCTTGGGCGCGCCCGCGGCGTCGGCCTCCGCGGCGACGAGCGCGTCGCGCTTCCGCGCGCGGTCGCCGCCGAGGAGGAACGGCGCGTCGGACTCGGGCACGAGGGGCGGGCAGGGGCCGAGCAGCAGCCCCGGCACGGCCGTGCCCGCGGGCAGCGCCTTGCCCGCCCCCGCGGCGACGAGCGGCGCGCGGCCCCGCTCGGGCACACACGCGAGCGCGTGCGCGCCGCGCATGGACAGGAGCCGCGAGCTCCGCTGGTTGCCCGTCGACGTCGCGGCGAGGCTGCCCGCGGCGCGCCGGAAGCGGTAGGGCGCCGCGGACCAGTCGCTACCGCCGTCGCCCTCGTCGCGGTACTCGAGCGACACGCGGTGGTACTCGGGCCGCGCGCCGTCTAAAGGCAGGTCGTGGTCCAGGGCCAGCCGCACCTCCGTCGGGCACGCCGCGGCCTCGCCGAAGCCCTTGAGGCGCTTCAGCGCGGGCACGACGAGGAGCTGCGCCGTCACGAGGGCCGACACGGGGTTGCCGGGGAGCGCGAAGAGCCAGCGCTTCTCGCGGCCCTTCTCGTCCTTGTCGAAGGACCCGGCGTCGAGCGTCGCGAAGGTCGTCGGCTTCCCCGGCTTCATGTGGAGCCGCCCGAAGTGGACGGTTCCGCGGTCCGCGGCCTCGAGCACGGCCTTGGCGTGGTCCGCGCGGCCGACGGACGCGCCGCCCGTCGTGACGACGACGTCGTAGTGCTTGACGGCTTCCCGTAAAGCGCTCCGGAGCGCGAACTCCTTGTCCTCGACGATGCCGCCGTCGTGGACCTCGGCGCCGGCCTGGCCCTCGCCGTGGCCGCCGAGGAGGCCGATCAGCCCGTAGCGGTTCGCGTCGCGGACCATGGTCCTCTGGTCGTACTTGTGTCCCGCCTCGGGGGACCAGAGCTCGTCGCCCGTGGAGAAGACGACGACCTTGGGCAGGCGGTGCGCCGCGACCTCGTGGTGTCCCGCGGCGGCCAAGATGGCCAGGTCCGCGGGCGCCACGACGGCCCCCTTTTCGCAGAGCACGTCGCCGGCGTCCCAGTCGGACCCGGGGACGCGCACGTCGGTCCGGGGCGGCAGCGCGGGCACGACGACGGTCTTCTGGCCCGCGCTGACCTCGCAGTCCTCCTCCTTGGCGACGCAGTCCGCCAGATTCGGCAGGGGCGCGCCCGTGGCGACGTAGCAGCAGTCCATGCTCCCGAGCGGCCGGCCGCTGAACGGCGCGCCGCAGAGCGCGGGCCGGTCCTCGAGGCGCAGCTTCATGACCTGGCCGCTCGCCTGGAAGGCGTAGCCGTCGCTGATCGCCGCCGCGAAGGGCGGGTGCGGCGCGTCGGCGACGACCCGCGACGCGAGCACGCGGCCTAAAGCGGGAGCCGTCGTGCCGTGGTACACGCTCTTGCGCACGAGCGGCACGCGCTCGGGCTCCAGCGGCGCGACGGCGTCCATGACCGCGCCGACGGCCTCCTCGATGCTCACCATGGGGTACTTAGACGGCGCCATAGTTACGAAGGCTTCACGGGTGTAGGTGTTGTAGTGTCGTCGTCGTCGTCGTCGTCGTCGCTCAGGTAGTCGTCGGCGAGGTGGCCCACCTGCGGCACGGGCGCCAGGGCCAGGCAGGCGCACAAGTTGTCGAAGTTCGGCACGTACTTGCCAAAGTACCACATACAGCACAGCTGTGCGATGCTCGAGCACAAAGACGAGCAGCACCTGAGCCCAAAGAGCGCGGGAGCTTGATCGGCACGGAGACGAGCACCACCGAGCCCAAAGAGCGCGGGAGCTCGATCGGTTTTCAGCTCGGGCAATTTTACCGCAAGTTTCAGCGAGCATCAGCCTGTCGCCGTGCTCTCCGATGGCAGCCATCGTCGCGTCCGTGCTCGCGGGCCTCGACGAGGACCTGCAGGAGTACATCGTGGGCCTCTGCGACGACACGGACGACGACGACGACCTCAAGGAGGCCGTGGCCGCCTTCGTGCTGTCGTCGGAGCTCGTCGAGGAGGAGGACGCCGCGGAGGCCAAGGCCGCGGAGCTGCTCGAGGCGCTGGGCCGCGGCAAGCCCAAGGTCGACGAGGCGGCGCTGAAGAAGGCCGCGCAGGCCGAGCGCCTCGCGCGCGCGCGCGCGGCGTTCGCCGCGGCGAACCTCGACGCGGCGCCCGCGGCGGCGCCCGCGCCCGCGGCGCCGCCGCGCGGGTCGACGTCGAACGCGGCGCTCGCGGCGGCGAAGAGCGTCTTCGGCGGCGGCGACGAGACCAGCACCGCCGGCGACGCCGACGCCGCGGCGGCGGACGACGCGGCCGCGAAGCCGAAGCGGGAAAAGAAGGAGCGGAAGCCGAAGAAGGCGCCGATCGCGAAGGAGGACAAGACGTCCGTCGCCTTCAAGAAGCGCGCCCTCGACGCGGAGATGGAGGCCGCGCGCGTGCGCGCCTGCCGGAGCCGCTGGCGCCTCGGCGCGTACCGCGGCGCGATCGAGGCCAGGGCCTTCACGCTGCCGAATCCCGGCGGCGGCCGCGAGCTCCTGGACGACGCGGCGTTCACGCTCGTCCGCGGGCGCCGCTACGCGTTGATCGGCCGCAACGGCAAGGGCAAGTCGACGCTGCTGCTCGCGCTCGCGGCGCGGCGCGTCGGCGACGTGCCCGAGGCGTGCTCCGTGCACTACGTGTCGCAGGCTGTGTGGAATTCAAATCTTCAACCCGACTTCAATGTGAGCGTATTTGAAAGTTTCGACGCAAGCTCTTTGGCTCTGCTTCGAGAACTCGACGAGAGCAATCGATTCGTCCAAAAATCAGCCGAATCGACATCGATTTGACGGAGCTAGACAGTTCTGAAGTTTGGTGGGGACCCCCCAAACCAGTGGTTGATTTCCACACAGGTCGCAGGACCAGACGCTGAGCGCCGAGGACGAGGAGCGCACGCCGGGGTCCATCGTGCTCGACGCGGACGTCGAGCGGCGCGTGCTCCTCGCGGACCGGGAGGCGCTGGACGCGAAGCTGTCGACGAAGCTGTCCGCGAAGGAGGCCGCGGACTGCGGCGAGAAGCTCCGGCAGACGCTCGAGCGCCTCGAGTCCGTCGACGCCGACTCGGCGCCGCGGCGCGCCGAGGAGCTGCTGAAGCACCTGGGCTTCAGCGACGGCCTCCGCGGGAAGAAGATGCGGGAGCTGAGCGGCGGCTGGCGCGTGCGGACGAACCTCGCGGCCGCGCTCTTCGCGCGGCCGGACCTGCTCCTGCTCGACGAGCCGACGAACCACCTGTCCATCGCCGCCGTGCTCTGGCTCGCGCGCGAGCTCGCGACGTCGGAGACGTGGAAGGAGCGCATCGTCGTCACGGTGTCGCACGACCGCAAGTTCCTCGAGGACGTCTGCGGCGACGTGCTGCACATCTCCGGCCACGCGAAGCGGCTCACGCAGACCCACGGGTCCTACGCGACGTGGCAGGCGCGCCGCGCGGAGCAGCTCCTGAACTGGAGGCGCGTCTCCGAGAAGCGGCAGGCCGAGGTCGACACGCTCAAGGAGTACGCGGGCCACGGCTTCCGCTACGGCGGGTCCCAGTCGCAGATCAAGAAGATGCAGATGAAGGCGAAGCAGGCCTCGAAGCTCGAGGAGGAGCAGAGCGCCATGGACGACGAGTTCGCGGCGCTCAACGAGGACCAGGAGCTGCCGCTCGAGCTGCAGCACGGCGGCGAGCTGCCGGGCAACCTCGTCGCGTTGAAGGACGTGGGCTTCGCCTACCCGGGCGGCGACTTCCTCTTCCGCAACGCGGAGATGGGCATCGACACGAAGTCGCGCGTCGTCTTCCTCGGCGAGAACGGCAACGGGAAGACGACGCTGGTGAAGATCATCATGGGCGACCTCGAGCCGACGGAGGGCGAGTGCCTCCGGTCGCCCCACGCGCGCGTCGCCCTCGTGAACCAGCACCACGCGGACCAGATCGACCTCAAGCAGACGCCGCTCCAGTTCATGATGGCCAAGTTCCCGGGCCCGGGCACGAACGACCACGCGCTGAAGCTGCGGAGCCACCTGGCCAAGTGCGGCGTCACGGGCCACGACCCGGACCTCCAGAACGTGCCGGCCGCGGCGCTGTCCGGCGGCCAGCGGTCGCGCGTCGCGCTCGCGGCCGTGTCCTACGTCGCGCCGCACGTGCTCATCATGGACGAGCCGACGAACAACCTGGACCTCGAGTCCGTCGCGGCGCTCGCGGACTGCGTCAAGCGCTTCGAGGGCGCCGTCGTCGTCGTCAGCCACGACCAGTACTTCGTCAACGAGATCGCGGACGAGGCCTGGGTCGTCAACAAGGGCGCGGTCCGCAAGGCCAAGTCCTTCGCGGACTACGTCCGCAAGCAGGTCAAGAAGCTCGAGGACATGTAAACCGGGTTTCGACGTGTGGATCCTTAGGGGGGCCTTACGCCGCCGAGACGGCCGCGCTTGTAGGAGGGCGATGGTGTCTCTAGAGGGGCCTTACGTCGTCGAGCCGCGCGAGGCGCCAGGCCCGCCGCCGGCCGCGCTTGTAGTAGGGCTCGGCCTCCGCGCGGAACGCGACGTCCGCGCCGACGGCGACGGCGGCGAGCGCGCGCGCGTCGGCGCCCCGGAGCCAGCAGTGGTCGCAAATCGCGGCGTCGTCGAGGCGCACGTCGACGACGAGCGCCGTCGGCTCGCGCGGCGCGTGCGGCCGCCCGAAGGACCCGCGCTCCGCGAGCGTCGCGACGAAGGCCGCGCGGCCCGCGACGGCGCCGAGGTTCTCGCGAGCGCTCGGGCGCGGCGCGCGCCGGGCCAGCGCGAAGGCCGAGGAGAGGCGCAGCAGGAGCAGGAGGGATCGGTGCATGTGCGTTGGTGGAGCTTGCTGCGGCGATTGCTGCGGCGGTAGTCGTTGCGGCGAAGCGATGCGGCTATTTTTTGGTAGTGAAGCTGTCACGAGAAGCCGTCGCGCCGGCGCTCTCACCGAGCCAGATCATACTCTCCTTCTTCAATTCGCGATGTTGCCGCAACGTTGCCTTACAGGCAAGCATCCGTGCCCCGACGCACACAAGACGAGCGCCCCACGCGCGCCGCGCCGCGGCCGGCCCGGGGGATCCGACGTCCTAAAGCGGAGGTTTATGTCGTGTCGGCGCGGCCCGCGCGCCCCGGAGCGGGCCGCCGTGTCGGCGGGGGCGCCTAGGCCTCCTCGGCGCGGAGGCGGGCGTTGGCGTTCGTGACCTTGATGTTGAGCTGCTCCGCGCGCTCGATGATCGCCTTCCGCTTCTGGCCGGAGACGGAGTGCGCGATCTCGGCGGCGTACGTGCGGTTGTGCATCATGAGCAGCTCGAGCTCCTTGACGTTGTTGACGACGAATTTGTAGAAGCCGCTGGGCATCATGTGGCGCGTCTTCTTGTCGCTGCCGTAGCCGATCTTGGGCATGGGGATCGTGCCCTTGAAGCGCCGGCGCACGCGCGAGTCGATACCGTGGATCTTCCGCCAGCTCGAGTTGCGGATCTTCATGAACCGGTTCGAGAAGTGGCGCGCGAACTTCTTCGTGCGCTTCTTGACGATCGTCGGCTTCGACATGGCGGTGACCTTAACCATCTTTGCCTGCGAAGGGGGCGCGCGCTCGAGGACCGCGGCGCGCGCGCGCGCGTCGGCCCCACTACTCTCGTCGGTGAGTGCTGGGGTGCGCCGCCGGTGGCTCGCGCCGCCGGCGACGCGACGCACGCTCCGGGGCCGGAGGGGCGCTCGCGGGAGCGGCGCGGCGGCGACGGTGGAGGCGGCGCACGCCAGCG